ACAGGATGGATACAGGATGGATACAGGATGGATTGATACCGGGCGGATTTATATTTGGTTACAGTTTGGATGGATACAAAGCGAGTGGATTCGCATATCCATAGAACTTTTTGACATAAGTACAGCATTTTTACTCTTATTCACTCAACTCCATGACAGACTAGCCTCGGCACATCGGTACTAGTTTTGATAGGGCCCGTGCTCAGTCCATCACCACAGTCGATGACTCTCGTGAACCTGGATTTCCATGTGTCAAGCACCAATTTTCCGCATTGCTGTTAACCTGTCGTATGTGGTAACCGCACAATTTGGATGAATGATTCCGTGAATTGAAGTTGCGACCTTAACGTAATCTATCAAACCTTCGAAATCACCCTTCACCCAACCTTGAAAGGCCATCAATGCATGTTCTACCTGGTTCTTTTTTTTTCTTGACTTCTATAAAGACTGCCAACGACCACAGTGGAAGAATAAGCTCCAAGATTTCCAAGACACCAGTTATCTGCGCGTAGATGTGGAGAAGAGAGAATAAGGTACCAAAACGTGTGGAATATCTTGGCAGGGAGGTGTGAAAATAATGTCATGGTCTTCTGCCACCTTACTGTAGCCATTAAGCCAGTCCATCAGAGGCCACAGAATTTCCGGAAATGTTCATCCAGGAGCGGCATGGAATGCATCCGGCCAGGTTTAATAAACTACATGCTTAAGTGGAGAGAAAGCCGAAAGTTGAGGGAGCCTGACGTAATACCGACTACACTCTCATGGGATACCATCTTTGGATAAAATTCCAACAGTCCTTCTACGCATTAGTGATAATCCTAGTAGGGAAATTTCCCAAAGCCATCATGCAGTATGTATCACTTTCCAGACCTTTGTCTTTGGTGATAAAGTAGTGAGACCCTTCTCTACTGATTCCTCTCCAATATATGCTTCCAAGGTGATTCGCCGAGGTGCATCAACTGACAGTGGTGATTGACCCCGGTCAGTTGAGGAATAACTCTAATGTGATTGGCTGGTTGCAAGAGAGGTACACACAACACCACTCAGATCACAGCTGGTACCATAAGACAAACATTGGGGGGAGGAAGCCCTCTTGGCACCAATTTGTTTGAATGCACCTTTATTGCAACAAGCGGGCGGACTGAATCAATCGCATGGCCGAGGAGACACTATTGGTCCCTGAGGCAGCAACACACTGCGTATTCATGTATCACCTTCTACCAACCAATCTTCCGCATCCATATGGGGAGAGGGAGAGGGAAATGGGGTGAGGGGTGGGACCAGCAGTAGAGAAGGGTTGGTATAACGCGGCCCCTAGATGGTTTGTGGAGTAGCTTGAGAATACGAGAGGCCTAGGACCTACGGGCTATGCCAACATTTGGATATCGTCAATGCCGTAGCCCTGCAATCTGAATGAATTCTTCACTGATACAGTTCGAGCATGCAAAAAAGATGTGATGTTCAGGGACTTTCAAACAGGTCTGCTGCATATTCTCCACTTTTCTGTGTCTCTTCATTATGCCAAAGCCGTGGTGAAAAAGGGTGGGAAAGGATACTCCAAAAAAGAAGGGGAAGGGGTTATGCGGTGACCTGGCAGTGGTTTTTATGCGCATTTAACTACACAACCCCTATAATCTCTGTGTACTCTGTAATTCTGTCATCCTACCTGACCCTCAGGCCATGTCTTTAGTGTCCCAGTCACCTTCTACAACAGCAATAAACCACTTCTCCACAAAGAGTTGCCTTTAAGAGCCACGGACCAAAGTAATCCAATGGGCCATAAAAATAAGACGTTAACTTAAATAACAAAGTAAAAATGGGGAAAAATCTTTTTAAAATCAATAAATAAAGCCTGTGGTTATTAGCTGTCTACCTCAAAGGCTCGTTTGTCTAAAGTAAGGTGGAGAAATTGAGTAACATTTAAAAGCTATTATATTTAAGGTGTATAGGTCTGTTCAAGTCTATCCGGGATCAGAGCTTAAGACGGATAAACCAATCTGCTGCATTAGCAGTCTTAAAAGTGGTTGTAAAAAACAAAACAACTTTTCAATAGTCCTAATGACCGGTAAAATCGACTATAGTTTTTCTCTGGATTAGACACAGATAATTACACCAATGACAGGGTTGACAGGGATTGTGTCAGCCCACCACCATCGCGGGAGGCAGTCATAAAAAACAATTAATTTGACCTGTAAAACATCTGTCTGACATTTCAGACGACCCCAAATCATTCCTTAGAAGTTCTTTTTTCCGTTAAAATTATTATCAGGACTGGTCTCTATTTGACGTGATTTGATTAAAAAATGCACATACTACTTATGGAAAAAGGTCTCATATCACTCTTTCAAATGAATGCGTGGGATTCTGTTTTCATCTTGAGATTATACTTCGACTGCAAAATTCTTGAGTAAATAAATTAAATAGATATAATTATCAAATTATTCTGTTTCAAACTACTGAAATAGTTTTAAGTAGACATCACATGATTAAGGTGGTGCGTTTTAAATCACAAATGCAATTGTCCATTTTTTTACCAGAAAAGACACCTTTTTATTAAATTATAGAATAAAACATTTTCTAAGCGTGGGAACTTACAAGTTCTCTTTCAAACACCAATAATCCCTTGTCATATGGACTGCTGTAGACGTTCAGAAAAGCCGTAAATTTCCATCCTATGAGGGAGAGCACTCCAATTAATCGTCCTATCATATACTGAGCCGCCAAAAGGTTGTCCTTATTCCATTCGGGAATGCAAAATGGTGTACCATTGAGCTTCACCTCTGTGAAGTGAAGTTCATCTCCACTCTCTGCAGACTCTCCCACCTCCGCTTGTTGATGATCAGGTTGAACAAAGGAGATTTGCTTTTCACTAGCCACACCAGAAAGCCACAACTGTTGAAGAAGTTGTGTCATCCAAGTGGTAAAGGCAGTAGTTCCGCCGTATACACGGAAGGTGTTTTGGTGACACAGAGAGAAGCACACACGGATAGTATTCTGCCTGGCTGTGGTGGAAGCATCGGATTTGATGAAAAAGAGGGTGTCTAACAGTCCACGAATATTAGCTCTACATTCAAAGACAAAACCAGCAGAGTCTAACACTTTGAGGAGTGCCAGAATGAGATAAGGGGTCAGATCGGAGTACTCCTTGTAGGAGTCCCAGGGGTGGCCTTCAAATTCAACCAGGAAGGAGGAGGACTTCTCCGGCTCTGAATCCACTGGAGGTCCTTTCTTCTTGTCGGTCATTTCTGAAGTGGTGGTGTCTTTTATTCTGCGAAACGTAATTCGTTGTGGCCACAGCTGTAACAAAGGAGGAAAAGGGAAGAGCATAAACTTAGTTTTCAACTTTCAGTAAAATCTCATGTTTTTGTGGTTTGACCACTTCCAGGGTAATTTATCGCCTTCAAAACTTTGGTAATAAACATTTTAGGGCCAATTTTTGAAATATATTAACGGGGGTGGGATTATTGGCCTAAGACCAAGTCTAAACACAGCAGAGCTAGAGAGTTTGATAGGAATGTCAAAATTACGGTTTACTTACAGTACAAGAGTTATTAAAGCAACTTCCACCTAAGGTATTCTTCAAATCCTTTTGTAGTTGACAGAAAAGGGATAAATTACAATTTTAGCACTGTCCAACCTCCCGAATGACTTTGAATCTCTTCACCTGTCAGGATAGGTGGCCCTAAGTCCCTCTCACCATCTAACTTCCTGTCTCGGGATTGTTAAAAAGTTGCGAATGGTTCAAGTGGACTAATTTTATCAGGGCGGGGGAACACAACGGCTAGATAGTAGAACTATTGTTTTAATGCTCTAACAGGCATACAGGCGGGCGGTCATTCAAACCTCAATAGTGGACGTAGAGTGGAGCGTTCAAGAATAACTGAGACAAAGCGCTTTACTTCCAACTTAGCTGGCCATCTGAACAAAAAGATACAAGCCTAGCCAATCGTCTAATTTTCTGAGTTTTAAATAAAGGATTATTCATTATATTTTTCACAAGATTAATAACAAATTTTAAATGAAGTTTGTCGAACTAAACTGCAGATATAACCGATAAACAATATTTAAAATGAAAAATTTAAGGAATTAGAGAGTTCAAGTAATCAAAAATTTTAAAATTTTAAATTTACTAAGAATTCAAGGCCGATCAATACCTATCAAACAAACTATTTATAATTTATGACTGAATGTTAAAAAATAAAGTTTTACATATTTGTCTCATTTTATCGTTTGCGAATGTTGTAGGAAAAAGGGCAAACTGTAAAAGCATTTGTCCAGTTTTCCATTTGGGCGCGTGTTGCAAATTCACGTGGCCAATAATGAACCGATCAGGCAGCCGATCGATATTCGGTGCCCGAACTTTATTTAACACATGCAAGCGGTGACGCTGACTGGCACCAGACGCGAAAAGGGCCGCCGTGCGGCTTACAAAGCAGAATTACTAAGGATTTTTGATTTTGCTTAAAATACGCAGCTGCGTAGAGGACTCTTTTGATCAGCACGTGATGTAGAGGTGGAAAAACAAAATTGACTAGAAGGTAGGAAACACACCGGAGATGGGTTGCAGCAGGGTGGGGGATTTTTTTTCCACACTCTCAAGCGATTTCCTGCTTGTTGTAATTAATTAATTCGTTAGTAAATAAATTAGCTAAAAATGGCGTAGTCAATGTTAAAATGCCTTAATCCTAAGGTGGAAAAAATTAAAACCTTCTTTTGTAACTGAACAAAAAATATATTTTTATCTGGTTTTTTTACCGCGATGACGTAAAACGAAGGTTTTAAACTGCCCAAGGAAAGGTAAAGGGAGTAGTTCCTCCTCCCCTTTGGCCAAAGAGGCTAATTTATTCTTAGAGCTTTTATCCCCCTTCTTTCTTCAAAATTCTGGGGTGGGGGTTATGATTCAGTCGGGCTATTCCATCGCATCCATTTGGGTCTACCAGTGATGCTGTGGACAAGCATTGGATGAGGAGTTGACGGACAAGGTGGAAGAGGGTATGGACAGTAGTCCGCATCACCAGATAGGGGATCTGAAGTGGCAATGGGTGAATACCGGCGGGGAAAAACATACCATCGTTGTGTCAAAAAGGATAGTTCATGGGAGTTTTTCTACCTCAACTGGTTAACATGGTATACGATTGTTTGAGGGCAACGCAAAGTAAACATGGACACGATAATTTATCGGTACTGTGTTGCCAACACAACCCCGCCCCCACCCCTTTAGTAGACGATATCAGTTTAAAGGTTCCAGATACCTCTGACACCGATTCATGCATGACATTTAAATGTACGCTGTGGTGTGGTGGTCGAGCAACGCACTGGCCAGAAACGAATTAAATCAGGCGATGAGCTACTGCAAGGTGAAGAGCCAACAGTTGTCTGTAAGCTTCTAAAAAGCACTTTTTTTTTTCAAAATTCGGCCCTGCCTAATTCCATGGTTGGAAGGCCTCAAAACTTGCACTAGCTTTCAATTTCCCTGAGTGGTTAGTACTTCCAACTGGAATGACCAAAATACGATAAATGGGAAAGATTGACGTCAACCCGTGTCTCCGGTAGACAGCTAGCAGTCACGTACACACTTGCCGTACATCCGACTAACTCAGCCGCATCGATGAAGATTGACATCCGTCCTGGAGGCTCTGTCTCTTAATTACTCGGACGGGAAAACAAGTATTATAAAGGGCTTAAAAAGGTATGATTAACATGACATCAGTTACGTGGAGATAGTCATGCCAACCAATGAGCGAACAGATGGTGTACAGTGACAGGTAAATAGCGGAGATAATAAGTCTGTTTCCCCTTCACCATTTTCACTAACAAACTCGAGCGGTATGAAATGGCCAATGCTTAGGCGTCCACTCACTACCCATTTCATAGTTTTTAGTCACGCACTTCTTCTGCCTGTTTTCTCTCTCCCTTTCTCTCCCTGCGCGTATACGTGTGCAAGGTGGACTGAAAATTCATTTGCTTTCCTGATGAAGGCCGACCAAGTGATGCTGAGATCCGTCTACTTCCAACACAAAAAAAAACCAGCCTAGAGGTAGCTGAGTCTAGGGAGAATTGCACGGCACCTTAAGAGAAGGCAAGCGTGATTGTTCCAGTCCTACACACTTTTTGACGGCAGCCTGAGAGGGTAAATTGCGTCCGCGTTTGGCACAGAAAATGATCGCTCTCATGGCCCACGTCTTATATGGTCTCGCGTGCTATCCCACACCCTACTTCCATAAGTTATTTAAGAAGGTGTCCTAGAATTTAGTACGAGAAGAAAAAGGGAAAAGTGATCCGCTAATCAAATTTCACACAATTCTTTAGCTGTACATTAGATTAAGCATTTTGGCATAATTCCTCATGCATAAAGAATTCTGCTAAAAGCCGAGGAGGGAGAGGTTTTTTCTTTGTTAAGGCATCACCCATTAATTAAAATGAAGCAAAAATCTAAATATCATTTTTAGAACAATTTTCTAAAACATCTATTAGGAAAATGAAGCCTAACAAGACACAGAAAGACAGGTGATGTGTGAGGTGGGGGATATATGTTGCTGGCATTCTCGATGGATTTATATAGGGGAATATCCATCTAACCCCCCTTGTCTACTGAAATGTTTATTTATGAATGATTCAAAGAGTAAAAATAGATTTGTAAGGTCTATTTCATGGTTTGGCAGTTATTTTAAGGATGGGACAATCAAGTCAGGTAACCACTGGGGCAAAATCATCCATCTAAAAGGCAATTTTTACTAAGTAGATTTACCAGAATGCCTTGAAACTGGCCAAAGTTACTTTAATTCGGTGACTTTTTTAAATGGACTCCGAAATTTACCGCTTTAAGTATAGTGTAGCGCAATAGGGGAGATTATAATTACTATCTTTGGCAAAGGGCAAGAAAAAGTTGAAAAATTAAAAGCTTTCTATTTTCTTCCTCTGCACATTAATTATCTATCATTTTTATACTAAAATAAATAAAGGGCTTTCATAAAAGAAGGCGTTCTTTTCCAAATAAAGATTTTAATACACTATCATTTCGGCGGTAGATTTTGCAAAAATGTTTAGCTTTTAACTTATTTCTACACTCCTAATACAAATTTCAAAGATTGAATAAACATTAAGGTTTTCGTGCTCTATTACCTGGGTTTATGTGGGCTAACAATGAAGGTAGTTTAAACTCCCAGTCAAATTAAAATGGTTTGAGGTTGATATATTTTCATAACTGGTTTTTAGAACCTACTCTCAATAGTCGTAATATTTGCTGACACATCTAAGTTGAGGAAAAAATGAAAGCAATTGCCTAATATTTCTTTTAACTTCTTGGCTAACAATATGAGGGGATTTTGGAAGGCTGAAAGGGAGCTTTTTATCTCCCTGGACCGTAACTCCGCCTGACTGCGTGACGCTTCAGTTGTGTTGAAGGCCTTTCAGACCTCTTCTACGTCAGTCGGCACGACTTAATGCGAATATTTGTAAGACGGCGGAGGCGCTATGTAGGCAAGTCTGTTAAGGCCTGGCTTTCGTTTTGCGGTTGCTTTGCCCGACCTGGGTTTATGACGAAATCAATGCCACGTATTTTCCAACATTACACAGAAGGCTTTTATTTTTAACTAAAATATGGGAGGTGTGAAATGATTCTGTCCACTCCTGGTAAACAGACATAAACGGCGGCGTGGCCCACGAGAAGGCGCACAAATTATTTCTTACGGTAGGAAAAAAACGGTCAAACCTAGGCAGGTAAATCCAAAAACGAACAAAATTGGTAGTAAAGGTGATTTTCTACCTTCCCACATAAATTAATTACGTCGACAACATTTTTACCCTAGAGACCGCCGCTCAACAAATGAGACCACTAGATGTCCAACTTTAAAAAAGGAGATTAAATCAAATTTTAACGTCTAACTCTCTAGCACTTTTCTTCTGAATATCTCCAAGTAAAGAATTTTGCCCCACCTTTTGCAGCTCCTCCACCAATCGTATGACTAATTTTTGGGTGAAATTCATACAGTACAGTCGATTCCAGCCCTCCAGACCTACAACGAGCATCCGTTTGGCAGGATTAAACTCCAGCACTCTTGAACGCCTTAAATTGAGCACTTTTGAAGTCTTGGGCGGACGTGTCTGACAGTCTCCCATCAGTCGGTGTAGACTATCCGTCTGTTGATTATCCACTTGGCTTCGGAAGAGACAGGTGCTAGCCTCCGTTCCACGGACAAAGTGACCTGTTGCAACCATCTTGTATTCCATGGAGTAGAGGTAGGCTACCATCATCATAGCAAAGTGGTAGGCGGTCTCCGCCATCTCAGCAGATTGATGGATTGGTGAAAGGGTGAATGGTTCCATGGGGATTCTAAAAACCGTGTTCCGGAGAGGGGGATGCGGATGTCCATCACTAGTGGTGCGATGTTTCTCTGGTGCATTGCAATGCCTCTCATGGTGGTCTAAATGCGGCCAAATGTGATTCATAAGGGAGCGAAGAAAGTGAATGAAATGCGGGGGACCCTGACATATCCACAATTCATCTGTTGGTCGGAAGGTCACAGAAACATAATTTGGTGGAAAAGGCGTGAGAAAGGAATGGCAGCTTCCCATTTTTCCTCTTTTTTTTATTTTCCTCCAGTTATAACTCCCATTAGATCATTTTATCTGGGGAAAAATTGGGCGGTGTGAATTGTCCGAAAAATTTATTGTTGAGATCAAGTGCCTTTAAAATGTATCAATTTTATCGGTGAGGCTGAATGAACTCTTGTTTTAATGTTACGTATTAAGGTGAAATTTACCAGTTCGAGATGACACAGAGGTACACACCTTTGCCCAAATGCTTAGTTGGCCAATTGGTCACATTCACCAATGGGAAGGCAGCAACAAAATCTGCCATCAGCCAATGAGAATCCACTGGAGGGTTTCACGTGACTTTTATCATTTTCATGCCGGTTTAAACAGCTCTCACTCTCAAAACACAAATTTTCTCACTTTATCAGTGGAATTTGTCATCCTTATGCTGAAGATCTGACGTTTGTTAAGCAAGACAAAAAATGCGTCCATTTCCCTGTCCAGCTTTGAATTTTTTGATTCCTTAAATTAACTGAAACTTCTTTTAACTCTTTTAGTTTTTCACCAGCAACTAAATGTATTTTAGAACATTTTTAAATTTTTTGAACTATTTGAAATTCGAAATTTTGTAATTTATAGTAACACTTTACCTGGCAGTATTTTTTTTTTTCCTCCTTCATGGATTATAACGTCTAATAAAGTGTTTACGGCGTAAAATTAGACATATATGTTTACTGGTAAGTGGTGTGGAGCACGTTTCACATAATTTGGATAAAAATTTATGGCGTCACATATATGTGACGCTGGTGGTATATGTGCTGCCAAGCCTTTATTTTTCCACTCTCTTTCGCCTTTTACACGTAGTTAAGGCTTTCTAACATTTTCTGCATTTTCTAAACTACCAGATCTCGTACACTTTATTTTGAAAAGAAACTGGCGGCGTTAATAAATCATTACTAGAGGGCCAAAAAATCATCAGTCCTACATAAAATTAAAAGTACGTCCGTTCAAATCAGCTTATTCCTGAGAAGGGGATGCAAGTCTGCAGAATAAGGATGTTTTTTGCACTGCTTGCCTCTTAGGCGAAAAAAAAATATTATTTTCATTGGTTTAATACTCCTCGTGACATTAAAGGTTTTCAAAACATTCTAGTCTTTTAAAGTTGTCATTACTGACTACCTTCAGCCGATGAATGTTTTGTCCACCATCCATTATACTTGACACAGAATTGTGGAATGTGTAATGATTGGATGATTCGGGGGAATAACTTTTAAGAGGTTGGCTTGGTTACTTGGCTCACAGATGGGTAAACAGGAAAATTAGGCCAATCCGATTGACTTCAAAATATCCTCCAATCCTTAAAAGCATGAAATGTGCGACCAACTTCACTTGATGTTGCATCCTCAGCGCTTCCAGTCGGTGTAGGTATGAAGAAATTTCTTAACACTCCCTTCCTTCCTCCAGAAGGTTATTCTTGAAATGTTAGTTTTCCCCAGGCGCGTTATTCTTCATTGTCTGGTAAAGGAGAGGCTTTCTGAGCCTAACATATTAAGTTTTAGGTTTTTCCTTACTATTAACAATCTACTTCCGGCTAGTATATTATTCTACTGCCAATTTTCTGCACAAGGAAGAAATAGAACCTTGAAAATGGGGCTACACTTATTAAGCTCAAATTACAGCGCCTCGATCATTTCACCCGACACTTTATGAGACGAATGAAGGAGTCGAGGAGACGATGCGTACTTTTGGATCGGTGACTGATGCTTTATAATACATACAAAAAGGGAGAGTCGCTGTGCCTTTTGCATTTTCTCTCAGCCTGCGATGTGTGATTGTGAAGAGGTTTAAAAAAGACAAATCCCACTTATCTGCCAAAATTTGTCATAATTTTGTAAATTATTGAATTTAATCAAAACAACGCAATTGTTTTTATGGTCTAAGCTGTATCATGCGAGTAAACTGGGGTGCTCTCGACTGCTGACTGGGTGAATGAGACGCCGAATGGTCCTGTTCTCGAGTATCTATTGCTATATAAATAATAAATGAGGATTGAAAAAGAGCATGAATTTCAGGTGTTTTAAAACGTTTCAAGAAGGAAGACTTTTACAAAAATGGGACGGAAACGTTTTTTGGAGGTTGCAGATATCTCCAGCCTCTAAAATGCACTAACATTTTAGGTGAGCTAAATTAAAGGATGCGGACTTGAGACTGTTTATGCTAAGGAACAAATTTAATTGAAATTTAAAGCTCTAGAAACCCGTTATTCTACCTTTATGGATGACATGGGACATGAAGTGACTTCCTGTTTCGTACCGTTTTACTGCAACGCTTGGCGGAAACCATAACACTAGCGGTTACATAGTCAGAATCCACTCAAAACACAGTTACATGCTTTAGGACCACCACACGCATTATTCACAGCAGATAAAAAGTGAGACGAAAGTATTTTTATGTGTGTATGCTTATTTAGTTGGGCAGTAGATAATTTAGATCTATCTATTTTGAAACAATTCTAATGAACGTGTAATGGTGTAACAATTAGCTCCTCTCTTTGATGGCAAAGTTTCACTTACAAAGTTGACTTTTTAAAATGCACAGTAAAAATCTACAACCTTTCATATCAAGCGATAAAATCGCCTCTCTCAAAACTATGTCTCCGAGAGACAGCACAGCTGGTTTTAGTTTAGGAGACAAATCAATTTTCGCAGTTTTTTTTTAAAGTGGCTTTTTATCACTTGATTAGCAGAAACTTACTTGCTAACCATACCCTACCAAAGAGCGGGTAAGCAGCTTGGAAGAAGCGCGGCGACGCTTAGCCTGCTGACCGAAAAGCAGTGATTGAAAGGTTAAAACAAAAATAATTTTCTTGCCTTTTTTGTTTGGTAATCATTGATCTTGAGAAGAAAAACCTCCCAGCAACATCTTAAAAACTTTTCCTGCTGTTTGTTGTAAGTATTAATTTGCATTGGCAATTAGAATTATTCGTAAAACTTTGGTACTTGTAAAATTGAAATGAAACGTTCTGGAAAACCGGAGTTGTTTTAGCTTCATCCTGATTTGTCAACAAGAAAAAACTGCTCAAATCTGTAAACCATCGAATTTAACAAATAGCTTACCCATAAAGAATGCAGAATATTATCTGGAGTTTCTTTCATTCATTACAGGAAAAATTACGTTATTTTGGAATTTTGTGTGTTAGAGCTCGATGCGATAACGAGGTGTTACCTGCGGAGATTTTTTAAGTGTATGCAGTTGGAAAGGTTCCCTGTCAGCCCATTGTAATTCGGCGATGGTGCCTTTACTACGCGAGTTTAACTTTTTTAAAAGATCCAGAAACTTGAGTACACGTTCCTTTATGGCTTTTAGTGAATGCACGGTAGTAAAACAATGACGTTTTAAGAAATGTATTACTGCTAGAAATGCTTCCATTACTTGGCATCTGGCAAATATCGCATGATTGACTAATGTTTTAATGTCAATTTTTGTGTGTATTTATTCTAAGCATCGAGGCAATCGGTTTATTTTTGTATCACTTGGAAAGAGTGTCATGAAGTCACGCCAAAATTGATAGCATAATCTGTCAATTTAATTTGCTTTACCCACGTCTCTCATTAGCAAGCAAAATACAATCCTCGCCTTTCTCAAGTCTGTGTGTGTGTATTACCCGGATGAAGATGAAAGACTTACCTTTTTTCGTCTTTCAACCTTTGCCAAACTCAAAGCTCCCTGAGTCGCTGCTTAAATTATGCCTACTCATTAAGTCCCATCTAAATCGTCCAACTCGGACTCGCATCACCTTTGGTTGACTAGTTAGTTGGTCAAATGATTAATGAATCGTCATTTTGCTCTCACTACTACAGGCAAGTGAACTGACAGGGTTGATCATCAACTCCTGGTTAATTAGTCTTCACCTGTATGTAAATGTTCTTGAACCCAGGAAAACATACAATCGAGCAGCTGGGATACACATCATCCTACCATCCTCCTGCAACAGGTTGCTTCTTCTACGAAATTAACGGCCTCACGGCAGGTGTACTGAGCTAGTGGCAATGGCATAGCCTGGTAGAAGTCATTAAATTCCTCAGGAGATTAATCTACCTGTAGGAGGAAGGGAATAGTCCTTCCTCAGCTCATATTACCTAATTTAGTCCAAACAAAAAAGAATAAATTATTTACAAACCAATTGGTCTACACATAATTCTTTGGGAAGATATATTGAGGCGAAATGAGTGCTTACAGTCGGTTAAAGATATAATTCTAGTTTAGACAATTTTTTTAGTGGAACTCGAGGCAAGTACTTGCAAAAAGGTCTGGAAGATTATGCGTGGATATGTGTCAATTTCTCGGTGGTCGGCTTACTCTCCTTCCACTTACGTTGGTGGTTCGGGCATGTCTCCACCCATGGTTGCAGCACTGTGGAAATTCCCCAAAGCGATTAGAAAGGTCCAATCTTCCTCTTTTTCGTCTTTGTGCGCAATTACACGAGATCTCAAATCTGCCACTGCATGACACCGCCAATCCCATCAAGTGAGATGATCCCATAACTCACTTAATTTATTCAGAGGGGGAAGGGAGATAGTGCTTCATCCCCGAACTCCGCATCCCTCCTGACCACAATTTTCCCATGGGTGATTATCTTCCCTTCCTGATCACATCATGTCATCGACGGTCGGTAAGGGCGGGGTCAGTGGTGAGTCTGAAGGAGTGGCAAGAACTACGCCGTTTTATCTTCACTCACAAAAGTTTGTGCCTCACTTGGCGATGTAATCACTTTTTGTCTCTTTGGATGCTTTCAGTAGTGGTCTGCTTTTTCCTCCCGATTTTTCCGTACAAACAGACGAACCTCACACTCACCCCTTTGGCTATTCACAGGCAAAATGTTTATGTGGTGCATAAAATTCATTCCAGAAAGGCGCACTAGAGCATACGGCTGTGCAAAAAAAAAAAAATTATTTATTATTGGGGCTTTGTAAAATGGAAGGGGGGAGGAGGGTGTGGCGAGAAGAGGTTGCCATTGCATCCCAGACATAACGCTGTGGAAAATAGCCTAATTAGTAAGAGAGACGAAAGTGGATCTCTTTCTATGTAAAACAACAAGAGGAGCCGCTTTCAAACGTACTGAGTGTAGATTTCCTTCATCTTTTACGTCCCCTTCCGCCTGTCCGTAGTTCTGTTAAAAGGTTAGAACCAAAGCCGTGTGATCAAAAGATATGTAGAGAAAAAAATATTTCTTTTTTTATGATGAATGGTAACTAATAAACAAAACAACTTTTTCTGAAAGGACAACTCATAAATATTACCTAAAAGTGAAATATTATTTTTTTGTAGCCTTATTGCCTGAGAATAAAGGAAAGAACAAATAAGATTAATCAAGGAGCCTCCCTTGTTTGCTTTGAGTATAGGAAAGTTGCCCCTATTTTACTTTATTTAAGTGAGCAATTATTCAATATAAAAAATAAAACAAAAAATGTCTTTTTTGGGTTTTTAGCAAGAGCAGAGCTTTCAATGCTTTTAAATTTCGTTCCAATACCTTTTTTCTTTTAAGTAAGCATGCGCACTTTCAAAAACTCGCGCACATCCTGAAAATAGTTAAAACAAAACAAGAATGTTTCTCATGTTTCTCGGCAATTTGCCCTCATGGCATACTCATATTTCTTTAGGAAAATAATAATATTTTGCAGATGGTGCAAGCGCCAGTTTAGCTTTAATAAAAACGGAATTTAAGACTATTGAAGTGGTGTAGGCACAATTTTAAAGTGAGTTTGAAATCTATTTTTCTCCTTTATTGTTTTAGTAAATCCAAGTGTAAGGAGCCTTAGCAGAAAGACTTTGACGACACCTCCAGGCTATTTTCGGCGCACTGGTCATGTCACCCAGACTGTGCCACCTTGTCTAAAGGTCATGCGTACCTGAGCGCATTTTTTCCCGGTTGTCGTAGAATCATTATGTTTTAGTGCAGAGATGAGACATTTTGCATCCTAGTTGACAACTCGAAGGAAAGGTTGCCGCGACAATGGGCTGCGAGTCACCAAGACCGCTGTTGCGATCCTAGCAGTAGTGGATGCCACTGAACATTCAACGAAGCATTTACCAAAATGTTTGGTCTTCGAACGGCTGGACGTCATGACTACTGCAGTTTCGAGTCACGCTTTTGTCGCCTCTAGAGGCACTCTGCCAATTTCGGTTGTAAAACTGTCATTCGCTCTTGCTGGTTCCCCACGCTTCCTTCACCTATTCTGTGTCGCAATAATCAAACTAAGACATGAAAAGCTGGTCTGGCAGAAACAATAACATAGAAATGCAGACTAGCATTTGTTTATTTGATTTTGGACGTCAATTTCATTAATAGCCCAGATATGGAAGATGATTGCTAGTGTTCCGAGGGTTCAAATAGCCTTAACTTTTCATTTAACAAATTTTTAAATCCTTTTTTACGAAAAATTAGGTGAGCTGAAGCTGAGGGGCGTTATTTGATTTCCCGAATTTATGTGACCGTCTATGACATGAGTGACGAAAGAGCTAGTCTTCCATCGACTTCAAGCGGGAAGTCTTGGACGTCACCCATACGCCTCAGATGATGAGTTTAGGTTGCGTAGCGCTCTTTTTACGCATTTGCCTCATTTTTTGCTTTGATCCTTGGCCAACCTTCTGACTGACCCGTGATGAAGAAGGCCCATTGAGTTTTGTATACAAACGTTAAACATACGAGCATTCTACCTTGAAATCCACCCCTTGGGGGCTAATAGAGCAATCTTCCTTCATTCTTAGCAAGAAAAGATGTGTGTACGCCGCTGATTCATCCAAATCCGTCTCTTCCGTACAGGCCTATGCGCCTTCCCTCCCTCCCTCTCCTTCTTCAGAAATAAACAGGTCTATCGAGTCAGTGATAAGTATGTCCTGTTCTAATTCTTACGGATAGAACATTCCCCCATTGCTCATACGCGCACAAGAATGATCTATCAATATGACCTTGAACAGCTGACTCATCAGTATCCTCATTCGTGTAGCCTCTTTCCTCTCCCCCCTTCCATTCCAACCAATCAGGAGACACTCATCGAAAGCGCGTGTTTCGGGACTTTGGTGGAAAGGGGGAAAAGGAAAAAAGGGAGGTTGAGGAAGAAGTGGATCAAGCGCGTTAAAAAAGGGATGATTTGTCGATGAACGAAACAGGAATGTCTTCCGAGGTTATGCAGCAGTCCATCTTAGCACTGAGGTCATAGCACCCGTCAGTTTCTAATGTTACGCTGCCGCAAATGTTTCCACGAGGAAGGATAATTGCAAGCAAGTTGGGTTATGATTTAGGTCACCTTGTAAGGTCTTGCATTAATTCAGAAATGGGTCGTTCTCTCCCTCTTCCCCTCACTCTTGCGATTTCCATGACAATGGCCTTATGGGGAGTAAGTAACACTCGCTATTGGGAATATTTAGGAGGCACTCAATAAAGCCACTGCCTACCCTTTGACTGTCACCGGGTGCTTAATAAAGGAGCTTACATTTTTTTCCCACAGACTGCAGGAAGAGCATCTCATCATGATAAGCTCCAAAATTAGCTATCTCCCCCCATCTGTGGGTGTTAGCTACATGCACTGGGCATTCTTAACAAAACCCAGTGTATCCATCCTTGAGGGATTATTTAATTTTATCAGTTCGCAACAGCCATTTTTTCAACAATGTGCTTAGCTGAGGGGACCCTTCAATCGCAGTGAATTTTTTTTGGGGAATTTCTACACTTCGTGATCGGAAGCACAGTCCGCAAAATGTAAAAGCCTATACGATTTGTGACAAGTGGATAGCAGCCAAATGAAGCATACATGATTAAGTAGAGCTGTCAGGCTGGTACTTATGTTCACATTATTTGCTTAGGCGAGGGATAAGCAATATTTTAATGATATTATTCATCATATTTAATAAATTGTGACAGTTAAGAAGGAAAGAAGGAGGAAGTGAGTGAAAGAGAAATTAAGGGAATAATTTAGGTGATGAATAGCGCAATACGTTGGTTACATGTCTCTCGGTTTTGATGAGTGACCACCATTAACTTGGCCATTGTGCCAGGCCGGGTGGGCTGGCCTTTGGGCCATGCCAGTGGACCTAATACCTTCACTATGCGCGAGTATTGTGATTTTTTCGTCTTTACGGAAGTCCCAAAACGCTACAATAGTACAGGCCCTGCAAAAAAATGATAAAAATACCAGGTAGGGAGCATGCCGAAAAGGTACATCAGGATTGTCAATGTCTCTCAGAAAACCATCAAAAAATAAGCAGAATAAGCACTGAATGGCAAGCAATGATTAATGCAAGAGGGTTACTTTGGGCACATAGACTATTGAGTATCAAAAATTGGTTTTGAATGCAAAAGAATTGCCTTGTAGTCCATGAAAATTATTAGGATTTTAACCATTGAAAGTGGAAATTGCAAATTATTAAAAAGTGCATATCTCCACCTGAGCTCTTAAAGACAGGTCATGTCATTGGTGTCGGATCCCAGAGTATGCTAAATATTCATTCTGCTCTATGATCGTGTATTCTTTAGGTGATAGGATAATAAATACTTGACTGTACATATGCCCGAAAAATCGGTTGCATTTTTCGATCCCTATTTTTACATCCCCCAAGGCTAGCACATTCCTTAAATAGTCCTCAAAAACAAACTATAGTATTTTTAGTTATTTCGTAACAGCATTTTGCTTCCGCTAAGAAATTTCCAGGCAAATAAATAAATGCTAATTTCATCCACAAAAGTAAAGACTTTTCTGTCACTCTCACTTGCGGTAAATGTTTGTTATTAATTCTAGACAGCTTATATTGTCATAATTTTTTCCTGTTTGAAACTTCCCGAAACTGCTAATTATGCTGCATGATTTGTTTGAAGTCCTTATATTCAGCTGATTATAAAAGGTGATAATTTGAAGTCGGAGGTCATTCTCCGAGTCGTATTTGTAGGCTTGCGTCTGGGTTCCGGTGAGTTGTTTAGTGTCTCCGCCTGAAGTGCCACGACCTTTTGCATATACTTGTGGGCATTTAATTCTTGCATTGTGTCTCCTCGTTAAATGGAATTTTGCTAGTTTTAAATTTGTACAACTCGATCTTGCTTATCTTGCATACAGAGGGAAAAGGAATAACTTGAAGTCTGTTTTCGTGTTTTGATTGTTCTGAAGAAAGTTTAAATTAATTTGTACTATTTTTCTGTTCTAAGATCTGCCTGCCTCAAATGACTTCAGGGTTTAATAGGATTGAGAAAATCATTTTTCGTCCCAGTGTACTCTTTATAAACTTTTTAAATAGTCACTTCGGACAATTTCGGGCATTTGTAATATGTAATTTTTTTGCCCTATGTAGATATGTCAAACTCTATTCACAACGGGGTTATTATCTGCAATCCTCATGTCCCATCTATGAAGGTGGATGTACTTTATCATGTTGGTTTGGACACCGACACAACTGATCTCAGGAAGCAGTTCGGTGATGTTAAAGTAAGCCTAAATCATCTGTTTTTTTATCAACGCAAACAATTCTTTTCGTAGTTCGTTATCATGGGTGGTAGTCCAAAGAGAATGAAGAAGATCGCTGAAAGACTCCTCAAGGCACTCGATGTCCAGCTTCCATGTGGCACTGGTTTGGCCAATATTGCTTGCGCTAGTGATCGTTATGAGATGTACAAAGTTGGGCCCATTCTCTCTGTCTCTGTAAGTCTCCTTCTGACATTGGACTGACCATAAGAAACGGGCGCATTTCTCCTATTATTTCATGTTATCTAATTTCAGCATGGCATGGGAGTTCCCTCCATTTCCATTCTTCTCCACGAAATGGCAAAACTACTTTATCATGCCGGTTGCCAAGACGTTAGTTTTATTCGTCTGGGCACGTGTGGCGGAATCGGTAAGCTAGTGCGCCACGCCCTCTAGTTATTGCCCAGTACACGTACTGACCATTGTAGTTCGGTGCCTCTGCCAACTAAGTGATGGTAAATATTTCTTTTTTATATTGTCTGTAGGTCTTGAACCGGGCTCTGTAGTCATTACCACCAGTTGTCTGGATTGTGCTTTCAACGACTACTTCCAGCTGGTTTGTTTCACCTTCATTGCCCTTCGCGTGGACTCTAATCTTCTGCTTTTTGACGGTTTTTTCTCTTTCAGAAAATTTTAGGCAAGACGGTAAGACGACCAGCTCATTTGGATGAGCATTTGGTGAAAGAGTTGATCGAAACTGCTGAGTCCATGAAACCCGACTTCAACGTTGTCGCTGGCAAAACTATGTGTGCCGATGACTTCTATGAAGGCAGGTCCATTTACTGAAGAATCGTTTTCTTTAACTTGATGTTGGCATTTGCAAACCCTTTGTATCGCTGTGTGTGATATCGTGCTCCAATTTTTTTCTGCAGTTCCAGATCATCGCGATGACCCCATCATAACAATGTTGGCACAGAAAGTTACGACACACCCTAGATAAAGTCACATTCTTGTGGAATTTCATACAAGACACTTGATGATGTTGGCTATTAGTTCGGAGTCTCTCCTCTCATGTCGGATTGATTTCTGGCTTGGAGATTTTTATTTCTTTTAATAATGGCATCGCTAAACCAATCAAAACCGTTGCTAAGGTACTATAAAAGATAGGTGTTGTCGCCTCTAAAATAAGAGCATCTTACATCCCTCATTGTTTTTTTGCTCAACCAATCATTTTATCGCATGGCAGGTTACAGTCTCTTGTCATTATTAGGGGAGGAAGCTCACATGTCAGATTGTCAGATGTCACCAAGGCTATTTTATTGTTGATGTAGAGCAAGGCCGCCTGGATGGAGCGATTTGTGAGTACACTGAGGAGGAGAAAATGGTTTTCCTCAAAAAAGCCTACGACTGCGGCGTTCGTAATTTCGAAATGGAGTCACTAGGTTTTGCTGCGTTCTGTCAACACTTAAAAATTAAGGGTGAGATTAGTAGAATTGAAGATGTGACTGTCACGTTTTATCCTTTTTTCTGAATTAATAAGGCATTTCCTCTTTTTTTTCTTGATGTTTCAGCTGCTGTGATTTGTGTAACCCTGGTGAACCGTTTGGTGTCTGATCAAATTTCGACTCCGTTGGAAATCATGCATGCATGGCAGGAGAGACCTTTGGAGATACTGATCAACTACATCAAGAATCAAATTTAACTCCTAAGTAGTTCCACCTTCTCTAGTCCAATCTACTCTATGTACCTGTTTACCTGATTGTCTAGCATTTTCTAAAAAAATCATAAACACTGTAGATCGTCAGTACGACTATACTTTTTCCTTGCGGTGTGAATGCCATGCTAGGTGGAATGGGAGGGAGGAAATTTGGGTAGTTTTCCACTCTAGACGGATAATATGCAGTGGAAATAAACAAGATTTATTTGATGGCGTCAGTGTATCTGTGCGAGGTTCTCTACGCTCCAGTTGAGAGCTACAAAGGCGTAAAATGAATGGTAACAATAAAAGGGCCCCACCCACTGACACTTTCATCAGGTGACTGTCAACTGTCGGGGGGCGTTGGCCGTCGCTTCTGTCACGTGCCTCAACCGTTCCGCCCGCTGCTCATGTCAAATTTATGGGGGATGTATCTCTTTGGCCTCGGACGGCTAATGTCCCCTCCGCAGGCGTATAGGTGTCTGATGGGCTGTAGACATATTTGTTAACCCCGGTTTGTTTACGTGTTGAAAGGTCAGACAATTAGGGGTGGGTAGATGGCCATCTCTCGGTCGCATACGAACCTAAGGGCCCTAAGGAAGTAAGAAAACAAATTTTTTGACTTTAAAAACAGCCAAAATTGGTCATTAACATTCTTTTGAAGACGCTCTACAACCCTTAAAGATGGGGGGAGGGAAGTAACATCTTGTCTTTTACATTCCACTTGCCTATCTCCAAGTGTTTGCTCTCTCTTTCTTAAGTATTCAAAGTTAAAGGATCAAACGTGCAGGAGGTGGCGAAATGGCGCAAAGTTACCAGACCTCAGTTTTTCGTCTCACTTCCCTATGCCACTGTATCAAAGCCATCAGCATTTACTTCATTCTTAGAGGAGGGGAGGGGGGAAATGGGCCTCATTTCCTTATCTGGTCACCCTATAATTGGTCTATCAGACATAATAGCTGCTTTAAGGGACGTAAAGACGTGACACATTTACCCATCTCTTGATAATGAGCTCTAAATTAGAGGGTTTGTATTTTCCCCCACTCCCAGCCCGCTCTCTCTTCTCCCACCTTAATAAAAGCTTAGAGCTTTGACTTTTACACCAGCTCCGGTACATATAAATCTTCGGAGTAGTGGGGATCTTTAGCCTTCCCACCGCACAAGTCTGGAAGCTTCCACAAGTTGTCGCCCCGGTAGATATAAGGTTCATGTTTCTGGTGGACTATTAAACCACTTAAACGTGGATACAGGCGACGTCATGTCCAAAAACCACCCTCACTAATTTATTTGGCCAACAATTGGCTGATTCGTTACTTGCATCGTTTGTAATTCAGGAGACAAGACCTTGATGAGTCACTTGCCGGTCTGCCCGTCATGATGGCTTGGCATTCAGCCATGAAATTTACATCTTTTAGAGCCCCCTTTCGATTAAAGACTCGCTTTTCCAACAACCAGGGTAGGCTTGAAAGGCACCATCCTGAAAAATGGTCGCCCCCGCCCTCGCCCCCAGAACACAGGGGAGAGCATAACACCCATCTTCTCCATAGGTAAGATCGCTTCCAGTCTATTTATCCTCCTCAGGTGTGTGCGTTTGACTCTGTGTGTGGGTGTGGTGTGTGCGTGTGTGTGTGTAGTCTTTGCCTACGCCGGTAAATACAGTCATTTTAGAGGGTGTGTTTGTACCTTTCAACTTCTTTGCTGGTACGCCTTAAAATATTAACGAGTTACATGTTTATCACCAGGTTGAATGGATCTGTGATTATACGTGACGACTGGAGAGTTTGTTACATAGGTGAAAGTACTGCACCTTGTCTCTGGCCTAACCGTCTGATCCACCTAAGTACCGGTAAAATAAAGTTGTCTTGGTGCCTGCTGGTTGTCATCTTAGATCCAGGTGAACAAAAAGCCTGCGGATAGGGCGGACTGCGGTGGTGGGATGATCAGTCTTAGAGCCGACTACTCTTAAAAGCTGTAGGCCGACCAATCAGGTAGTGAGGTTTCTCGCTTTACCATCCACAGCAGTCTCCCTTGCGAGCATTCAGTGGAGATTATCGAAATTAGCCCAATCCTGGACGCAAACAGGCAACACACTATTCTACACTAAGTTGGGGACTCACAATCGACTATAAAGTGTCACAGGTTGTTTTAGGGTGGTTCAACTGTACCAAAAACACCTTCTCTATTTACTGGGAGATAGGCAAAGTTCGGTCGTACGCTTTCTCTCAAACGCCTCTTTCCCCCCCCCCTTCCTCCCCTCCCACCCTCATCTCGTGCTTCATCTAGATTTGCGGTATCAAAGACTTTTTGAGAAAAAATTTCATTAATTGGGGGGTGCATTCTTAATTTCAGTTTAGTACCCTAATTCGTTGTTCTCACGCGTTTTGAATATTTAGCAGACACGTGACACGTCCAAAAATGTAGAATTAACTAGAGCCAGTTTGGCACAAACCTCGGCGAGGACACGTTTGGCATGACTCAAAGTCAGCTCTGCCAAATGCCATAAAACTGTCCATTGGTCAGTAGAACCAAATTGCTAAAATGACCTTAAGAGGCTAGTTGAGGTTGTTAAAATGCACTGCGAGGTTGAATCTGGTAGTTGCTCCGATACGTCGACCCATGAACGGATTAATTCCGCAGTTGACAAAATAAATTATCGTGTATATTGTAGATCGTGCAACCTTGAATTTTCTCCAAAATTATAAACTGATACACCGACAGTGGAGTGACGGAAGTGGTGGAAGTCTACTTGGATGGTCAGTAGGTCTTACTACCAACCGAAAGCAAAAGCTGCGGAGGTTCAAGAGCCCGGGCAGTCAAATGTGCGCTTAAATGGATGTGATTTCACTACAATTTTCTCTTCTTCCTGTAAACATTGTCTCTTGCCCCGTCCGTCATCATTTTACTACTACCTCATTGAAGGCGCGGGGAAGGAGTTTATAAAAGTGGACGCTGAAATTCACCTCAGTAGCGAGTGCCCACAGATTCAATCTAATACGAGTGCCATATTCCCTCCGCATTGTTAGGATTTGGTAAGCAACCAGGGCAGTTCGACATCTGAATAGCTGCCACCGATGTACCCCATCTACGCCTTCACTGATGATCATGGAGCTAGGGAAACCGATGTTGAACAAAGCTACAAACTTCAACGTGGCATGTATGCCAAACTTGCTAATCACCCAATCTCTTTATATTTCTGTTCTGTTTAAGAAACTCAAATTTACCGCATCCATCGTGGTCTACGCATTGGCCAACCTTTCTTACCTCTCTTTTTAATCTGCATACAATTCTATTCTGAGCGTGTTAAAGAAATGAGGGGAAAGATGTTAGAGGAGTTGCACTACCCTCCAAAATATTGCCTTGTGTCAAATCACTTAAGGATATTGTTCTTCGAGTCACAGAAGAGCACCTTTTAGGAGTTATTCTCAAGATCAGGTCGTCATGTGCAGTTCCTGGATTACGGATGCACACCAACCAAAGGGTGTGTAAGGTAGGTATGTTAACATCTGAATTGTTCCGCAGAGCATTAATTGCTCCTTGTAGCTGAAACAGCACCAGGCACCGTTTTAGGGTCATAATTAGGTCACATTGCAGGGTAAATTGTTGGCCATAGATGTGTCCCCCCCGGTGGTAGACTTCCTGAAAGCTAGGATATCACATGCTCTAAAAATGGGATTTATTTCCAAAAAATTGGAAACACTTTTGACGAGAAAATCAGATCTGGCCCGATTTAAAAATTATTTTACAACTTAGTTAGAAATTACATTGGGATGCATATGCTACTTGTCTATTTAAGTAGAGGCGGCTCTGAGTTCATTACCAGTGACTCATTGTCGGTTGAGCTATCCGGCCATACATGTCATTATCGTTTACTAACGAGTTAGAAAGAAATTCTACTCGTTGTCCGCTGAAATTGATCGCCACCTTGACGTTTCCGCCTCACTTCGTTCTATTATGCTGATGTCAAGCCTTCATTCCAACACTTTGAGAGGCACTTCTCTAGCAGTAAAGGGAAATGATGTTGATAGTAATGATGAGTAAGTATCGCCTTCCCCCTACCTTGGCAGGAAACAGATCCGCTTCTTGCTGATCAGTTTTGTTTTCTTAGTGTGACGACTGGCGGTTTTGCTGGGTGAACGTGATTCTCCTGCCACACCCTAACTGGTGCTGGTTATTTTGGCTCCTTTGGGAAGACAAATTTACGCGCACATTTTGGAAATGTTTAGCAGGTAAACCGGTATGTAAGGGAGTGTGTGGGTGGGAAGGTCTCAGCCATAACTATTGGCCAGTCTTCTCGAGGCGGGGCATATATAAAGCGTAACTGCACCTGTCACCCATCACCCAAACAAACGATGTGGTGGCTAATGACTCGAAAGTTTAGCGTGGGGTGGAGAGAGGCTGTGATGTTTAGGAATAGCTAATGCTGCAACGCTGGATCATTCAACGGTGGAATTCGAGACCTTAAAAGCCCATTCCTTTAACAAGTCAGTCAGTCAAAAAAATGAACAATTTAAATGACCGTACCGAGAGACTGAAGCAATTTTAACGCCTCAAGTGACCACAAGTCCTAAATATTTCCAGCAGGCTACAAAGAACACCTCATAAACATTTCGTTAATTTAATATTTTACTTCCAATTCTCCAACAGTGCTCCTAGGACTTTACAGAAACCATCGCACCAACACGCATCACATCCCTCAAGCCACTGCCTTTACCCTTGCTAGGACAGGCTACATCACCACAATAAGCCTCAACCTACTTGACCTCCATTAATTTATCCAGCTAGGCTTAAACCACATCTACAATCAGGCCTCCCATCCGCATCATTATACAGCGAATGTTGTCAACGGCGTGCTTCAAATGACCGCCTATCCCTTGCCATAATGAAACCGTCCGTCTCCTACGCCATCATAAATATTGAAGCCATGGGAAATTTGCTAATTCCTATCCACGAGATTGCAAGTATGACTACTAAAATTTGGCAGTAATTCCCAAACCATGTGGGTTTTGGGCATTAGACAGATCTAACAGTAGAAGATGCATTAGACTGCGGCATCCCCTGGACTAAAATCTGTTACCTCATGATATTTGTTCAAGCTTCCCGGTTCAGTTACTACCTTTATGTCGTGATAGCTGTTCGTGTCTCTATTATTCTTTTGCTTATGCCGGTAATAAAAGGTCCTTTTGTATTTGTGGAGGTGATAGCTCCCCAACTCTTGATGTGCTTTGACAGGTTTTCCCAGAACCTGTGGTTAATGGTTGGAATATGCCTGATCAGTGCCTGCTCCTGCGTTCCAAATGAGCTTCCCTTTGTGGATGAGATGTTTAGTGAAAATGAGCAAATCTTGCCTTCATGGTAGCATGGTTGCAGCCACCTTGAACTTCTGTGCATATGTACTAAAGTAGTATATTCTTGCCACGTGTTCGGGAGTAACTCGAAAAAGTTGAATTATTACCCGTCTCAAATTTTCCAAACAAAATCTGAAGAGGAAAATAGTTAAAAGGTGTAAGCCTGTCTGCAGCTCCCTAATTCTGTTAAGAAGTCAAAAGAAGTAATAACACTAGGACAGGAATTGTACTGCCCATGCACATGACGGCTGAGTAGGTACTGACATGGTTCGGAGGCTATGCCGCCCAAAGGAAGTGCAATGGCGAAGCCTCAAGTGCTCGCTTTACCGGAGCCAAGGGTAAGACACACAGTCAAAGCACTGCGTTAACGTTAGTTTGCCTCTTTCTTGCACAAGTAGAAAAGAAAATCTGCATAATTTGCGAATTTTAGGGAGTTTTTTCGCACTAACCACAACACGAATGAGGTAAGAATTTGTATACATAATGTCTACAACACTAGTTTTTTTGCATTTGGAATGAAACATACAGTAAGTTATTGGCTTTTTTAACATTCAATGCTTTCTGTTTCTGCAAACTAAAGACACGCGTGTAAACATACCAAATACAAACACTACTTTTTAGTAAAATTGCGGCATTTTAACCAAAACAATTGAAGGTCTACTGTGCTGTGTTATTGCAGGCTTTAATGAAAAATCTGGCAGTGTTTAAATGAACCACCTGTTGTTTACCTTACGTCTATCATAAAAAAGGCGCGCGGAAAAATCCGGTTGACACCACGTGTACAACTAAAGAAAAGTGATTTGATTGTTATGGATTATTCCACAGTGGCGCTAATTTTAAATAGTAACCAAATTCTCTAAGCTGCCAGGACAATTTCCACCCGATTCCTCTTTTGGAGTTCATATGACAAAAATCTAATGAAATGGAATGCTTTAATTACCCACGAAATATTATGACATTAATGGGTAAAATTTCCACTTAGAATGTCATTAGTTTCTTTCTCTGTTGGTTCGTAGTGCGGTACGATTGACTTAGTCCAGTTTTTCAGATTTGAACAAATTTCCTGAATATCACCCGTGTCAGAATTTTCTAAACGATGAAAAATAGGAGAGCACTAATAAGTTAGGATGGTAATTAATTGGATGATTGTAAGATTTTACGTCCTTATTTGCTTCTGTAGTATTTTTTTAAGTTATCTCAAGTAAATTTCGCTTTGAATCGTCAAATGCTTCAGAATGGAATTCTCGTTTATTTCCACTAAAGACTCTCATAAGAAGAATTTCGAATTAATTGTTTTGCTCGAGACCTTCACTTTTCGCCTTTTAAAAAATAACTTAAGGCAAATCAAGGTTTTGAGCTTGGGTCTTCCTATATTACATTCATTTTTTCTTAACGAAATATAAACTAGATGGGGTGTTTACTTTTTCTTAGGATTATTCCATTTTTCGCTTATCATCAAACAAATTTTACTCCTCAGTCTGATCTACTAACTCTTTACTTTATTCTTCATGTAATCGTGCAGTTGTCAAGCCCTAATGCCTTCACTTTGAGTGGCATTTCCATGGCAGTGTGGAAGATGACGGTGAGTGTCGCCGTCGTGATGGTACTCCTGCATGGCACAAATCCTTCTTCTTACTGGTCAATTTTTTGCCCTTGGTAGGTGTGGGTACTGGCGGTTTGCCCAGTGAATGTGACTTCCCTGCCACAGCCACCTCGGTGCCTGTTGTTTTGGCTTCTTCTGAAAGACAAATTCATGCAAATTTTTTGGGTATGAAGTATGTTTGTACGCAGATATGTAGGTGGGTAGGTATGTAGATCTCAGCCTGAATTTTGGTTAGCCTTCTAGAATTGGACCATTTATATGGCACCACTGTGCTACTGTTTATCAGCCAACACGCATGCCTGCACAAAATGGGGCCATGGATGACTCGACAGTGTGGTGTGGTGTTGGGAAAGAGTTGCATTGTTCACTGGATCACTTAGCAGCGGAACACAAAAGCTTATACAATCTAACACTCAGTTAGCATCAAACCTATTTTCGTTAGAGCCTACAAACTCTTACTAATGTATTGGCATAAGGCTCTGATTTATTTTGCTTCTATCTGGATAATCGCCTTCAAAACTGATCAACAAGTTGGATTCGTCGTGTCCCATGAGCTGGAACATCTGTCTCCAGTTCTGAGTACTTTGATCTACCATTACACATCCTTCAATCTTTCGGCAATCATCTAAACGAGTAAAGACAATGCAATAATCTCAAGGCATGTTATGACAATTTCATTTAGCCATCTTGCTGTTATATACTACTTACTACTTAGGACGATGCTTACCTGCTATTTTCCCAGTTCACGGATCACCTTAATTTTTTGGTCAAATATTCTTAAAATTATAGCTTATACAACCAAATAAACGTACGAGCGACTTCATCTTTCTTTAAAGTCGGTCGGGTTATCATTTGCTGTTCCTTAAGGCTGCGTTTTCCAGTCGATGCCTTCACCTTGCTACCCTGTTTAGCAGGTCTCTGTAGGCATTTAGCCTCTTCCTCGATTTCCATTTTCTCCCCTAAAGAGTCGATGTCAACTGCCTCCTCTTCCCCATCACTAGAAGTCATCACCTCTCTCGATGGCATCTTCTTGGCAATGTCTTTTATCTTCGATTTGAAAGGCCTCTGACAAGGTGGTGACGATGGTGGCTGCTGTGACCCCCTTCGTTGTTGATGCCGTAGCCTTTTCATTTCACTACTACTGCCCTTGTTTGCAACAGATGACCTCTTATTCTTGTCACAGCTACCCCGCTCCGGCTCTTCTTCTTCCACCTCCGCCTCCTCCTCACCCTCCTCCTCATCATCATCATCATCCACCCATATGTGTTTTTGTTTCTGTTGTGTCGACGTGTCGAGCTCCTCATCCGAGTAGTCGTCCTCATCAGAAGAGATGAGAAAGCCCTTTAGAGAAGCAAATTTTGCTGCCACCAAGTGTTGACCTAGTGTCGGTTTGCCCGGCATCGTCTATCCCTATGGACCAAAGATATCTCAATTGCTTTATCACAAAAAACAGACATGGCACTAATAATTTGAACTCTTTATTTTAAGTTTACAAATCTTCACCGTTATATTTAGATTTGCCTAAATTCCTAAGTCAATAATTTTAAGGAATACAAGTTGCAAACGGCGAACTTAACTTACCAGCTGACTCCCTGTTGAAATTATAAGGGCACGGCAAATGAGCTATCTTTATAAACCAACATGGTCGGGCGGTTGTCATGGTGATTGTAACGAAATTGCTTCTTTTTCTTCCATTTAACACAATAGCCATTCCACATCGATGATGTGATACATGCCATTTGTTCTCCCCTTCCCTGGCTTTTTGACAGTGTAGATGTTGTTCCTAGTATCTCACCCTTTTATTTCTCGCCTTCAACAAATTTCATCCTAAAAGAGGAGTTTTTAAATCCCATAATTCTTTAGCAAGATTTAATTCCTTTGGTCTTCGCACGTCTTTGCCTCAGTAGCGTAAAACTTACTCCTTACTGATGTGTTCTTGTAAGATCAGATTTTTGCTTACAAATACAGAAAGCAAATTTTGAGAACACACTTTATTTATTAATCTTTGCAACCATAATTTTCAGAAATTACGGTTTTGTTTAGATGTCGTAATTTATTGGGTCAGCCTACTTTCTTGATTTTGATTGGCTAGATGGTATCTGTCTGCACCTTTAAATGGGTGCTGATAATTCATCAGCCATAAGTGTATCGTTGTGCCCCAAAAATTAAACAAATATCGTCTTTCTCCATACCCGTTTAGCCGCACTACCTTTAAGCATCACCCTCTGAGATCACAGTGTTGGCGCATCCAGCCATCAACTTCTTGATGAGAACAAAAAATGTAATCAATCTCATGGTTCGCAGCTTCTAGAGTTGTGCTTTCTTGATGGAATGTGTTGTAGAGATACAGTGATCTGATCTGTAGTGGGAGTATTTTTTATGCGCTTGTCGCCCTTAACCCAAAAGGAAAATCATTTCGCAATCTAAGGGGTTTTAGAGGTATTCGCTACTACCTCGTTAGTGCACACTCGTCTATCTAAGCTACTGTTAACCACCCGGGAAGTAAGGATGTATAAATTCGTCCGGAATTCCTTCGAACATGTTAGGGCTCCGTCACTTAACCCTAAAACCGAACATAATACGAAGATCGTTGGCAATGGTAAGCATAAAGGGAGGTTCGCTAAGCGCTGCTACAAATATAGTCACATATTGACGTAAATTGGCATCAACGCTTTTCCCATTTTAATCTAAATAGTTCTTTTTCCCGCGCCTAATTTCGCAGTCTTATAAACACGCCGAAACTCGAGTCCTCAGCGAACTCTCCTGATTAGTCGCTATCACATAAAGGTAGGCCTCAGGCGAGCTGCGAGTCACTACAACGCTGTGGCCAATCAAAATTAATAGGAATAAAATAACTGGGTTTTTGGCTTTCGGCCAGTGGGCATGTACACACATGTCCGCCCCCCCCCCCTCTAGCTGACTCATACGACTTTACGTCTGCGCTACAGCGTTTGTGCGTCTACAAACATGCAGGGCATTTGGCAACGCACACCCAAATCGCCAGCCAAGTCCACTTTGTGCCTCCTCTCTGTCTCTATCTCCCCATCCGTGGAGGAGAACAAGGCGCTTCCTATTCATCATTTATCTTCCCGAGGATTGGTTTTTGGGCCAATAGGAGGTCATGCGTTGCCATCAGTAAATGGATCCCCTCGATAACTAATATACCAGTTCTGGCTATCCAAGCTACTTAGGAAGAGAAAGTCCGTCTTCCATACAGTCGCGTGGATGGAATCTGGCTGTAATTTTTTGACTTTTAACGAGAGGCTGATTAGAGTTGTGCTTCGTCCAGAGGTGAAGAGTTAAGGGCTTTCAAAATGCAAAATAGGTGGTGTGGAAACACTAAAATACAGAGCACAAGAGCCAAATGAAGAACTTAACAGTCATTGGATCCTTTTGTCATCAGTCATTGTGTGGGTAACGCCCATTTGCCCACCCAATTCCCATCACGACACTCCCCTCCTTTTCCATTTTCTGTAGAGAGAGTTTTTGTCACTCATTGGTGACACCCTCACATCATACAGACTCAATTGTGGTCCAGAACGCGCTGCGTTTTTATCCCACAGTAATTCTTCAACACTCCATTTGTGGTAGGTGAGTTCCATCACCTTACCTTCTACAAAGGCTTCCTAACAAGGGGTATGCAAAGTTTTCGCAGGTTTGGAGGCAATTTGAACTCGTTTCATGCAACAAACAGGATGTGATGACATCTGTTGTGCCGGTTCAACCGATATTTTATGATGTGGAGGGCAATGGGCGTGTACGCAACTCTACCTAGCTTTCCTGTTTGGACATTCTAAAGGTCTTCCATTTCGGGCTCCTAATTCCCCACTCAAACACAGGAAATAAAAAATGCAATCTTTTTTGATCAAATAATCTTCTCATTCCTTACCCAACCTTTTGTGATCTAAGCATCAAGAAAGTACTTTTTTATACTTGAGAGGTGTGGATCCAAAAACTACCCATTGCCAGCACAATAGTACATGCACTCATTTTCATTGTGCCTTTAAATAACAAATAAATATTCCTTTTATTCCAAATGAATGTCAATACTTAAATGGATGCCGGTGATATCGATACCTAATGACAGATTGACAACTAATAATTAGTTTGTTGTCTTTTATAGCAAAAAGTGGCGAGCTCCAGTGCTTTTTACTGAAAAAGCTTCTAGTTCTCGTCCTCCTTTCCTGCCACTCTGTTTAAGTGGGTAAGTAAGGCCACCTAAGGGTAAAGCGTGTGTCCGCTATCCATTGGAGAACCAAGGAGGTCTCGTTCTCCTGTATTTATGGTGCTGTGATTGACCTTGACCTTGTTTCGATAAATGGCACAAATAAAGACGATTTGTATGTGATATTATTTAGTCAATATGAGCACAAGCTTCGAGACATTCTGGGTTATTGGGAAATGTGGGGACTAAAAAGATGAGTTAAGGGCATCTCCTCCAATTCCCACCCCCCCCCCCTTCGTAACGCAAAAGCCGGTTGAACCAAATCGAGAAATGGCAAAACAGTCCTTCTGTCACATGAAGCCTGTTAAATTAGCCCTCGAAATTGTGACAACTCTGCGTACCCCCTATTATGTGGCATTTGAAGGTGGTGGAACCAGCGGTTTGCAAATGACATTTTGATTGGTCATTCTGAGTTGAATGCAGCAATTTTTAACTTCAACCTGGTTCACATGATGCATAGGTAGATGTCACCGCTGAGCGATAGCGACTTTCCGTGGGGTTTAATATAGGCAAAAAGTTCTATCGAGTGGGAGGAGTGGGTGGGTTTTTTGAAGGAGGCTGGGCAGCTGCGTCTCACCTGCATGCATTCACGAGCGACAAATAGGTTTTAATAGCTATCACACCATTTGTCACTTCTTTCATTCACCTTATAAAAAGGCACTGCACTATTCAGTTGTTCTGGTGACAGGCGGACCGACCTACTTGTGGCAAGAAGGAACGTTCGTATTTTGTACCACTCAACGAAGGGATATTTATTATTTTTAGCTCCATCCATCGCACACCTCTACGTAACCCACAGGTTCCACTTCAAGAAATTAGCTTGTTCTTGAATGCGCGTGAGTTTGTGTGTCCGACGTGGGTGTAGCTGCAGCTGCAGCTGTGGAGGTGGGTGTGCGTTGGACCGCCGACAGAACTGTCGGTCATAAATTCCTCATTAAGGTTCAAACACAAAAGGCGTCACTGGTAGGTGTGAAGTGGTTATTACCTTTTTCGTGGCCTTTACCGACCACAGGTGAAAAAATGGGAGCCAAATTTCGGATACCCAGATATGGCGGTTTAGCTGACAGTTAAATCGTTTTAAAATGGAAATTGTTTATCTATTCTGCTTAAGTCTATGCACTAAGGTGGACAGAATTTTCAAATATACAGGAAGCACAATTTCCACATTTGATCTGATGCGGCGGTAACCAAAAAACAAGAGAATTTCGGCCACATATTCACTGACTGAAGCAAAATTAAATTTTTCGTAAACTTTGAAACACACACCTTCTTTGTTTGAAATCCTGACATGCCTCGGTGTTCTTGATTTGGTTGGCTTAACGCGAATTCAGGACGTCACACATATGTGACGCGCGTTTTTTACCGATCGCTCATTGCCCATCGAGCCAAATTGTTCAGTTCTAAATTTTTTGAGCAAAAAAAATGAGAAAAATACCTCTGATGATTTTGAGAAATGGACTTTTAACTATTAAGTAATAGTTAGGCTGATTGAAATGTCATGTTTAACTGGAAAAAGTTCAGCACCCGAACGGGAATCTGATACATTAAACCAAACACAAGATCACATTTTGCACTTCTTTTTCTTTAGAATCCCTAGGTATATTTATGCATAACCCAAAAACCAAAGGAAGTGCGATCTATAACAGAGGAGTCCCATTTCTCTATTCGCTGCATTTTAGATAATTTCCTACTAAAATTCTATAACTGTAATTTTTTAAAGAAAATGGTCAAACTATTTTAGAGTAGATGAGAAAGTGGAATGCGTCTGACATCGTTGCTCAATTACTTAATGACCTATAATGCAGGGCCATGGACCAATCATTTCGCGTCCTTCAAAATCGACCACGATTATAAATTTCCTTTGGTTAAATGAAGAAGAAGACTCAAGTTAGCGATTAAATGAATAAATATAACGCCGCCACAATATTTACTCTCTCTACTGTTTCCATGGATGACCAATTTTCATGCCGTCCTATTTCAAGCATTAGCCAATCAGCTATCCTGAACATTCACCGTCTAACCTAAAATGGCAATGCAGTCTTTTTGATCTTAGATAAATCATACATACGCGTCATTCTACCGCCACGGTACAGCTACAATCTTTCACCAGAAACACGCCTTAGCATATAATAATTGTCACTCGAAGTGGTGTTGCCTTGACGCACCCAGCTTAAATCGACGTCCTGAGTCGAATTTGAAAGAGACGCCCGAAATTCCTCTACCTCCGTGTACGTGGAGAAGGGCGATGCCAGAAAATGACAAGTCTTGGAGATCAACTTATCCTTTGCCTTTTTTACCTCTATTACTCTAAAGGGATTATTTTCCAACCCACTGATGCAGAAAAAATGACTTTTGTAGTCCAGAGCTAATCGGAAGACCCCAACGCTGGCGATTATCTCTTCAAGTAATCTACCTCTAAAAAATATTCTACCTGAGGGGAGAAAATTTGCTTCTGGTAGACTGTAGCCTGAGGTACCGTGGGCCGATTAACAAATCAAAGTCGAAAATCCTTCTCCAAGTACAGCAAAGACTGGTGGTTAGCATACAAAACCTCCTACCCCGGGCAAACTCACCAGTGAGAAGGTTTTGTATTTCACTTCAAAGGGGAGAAGGACCTTGACAACCAACAAGAGGGATACCTCTCCACGTTCACTCATTTTTTATGAGAAAAAGCGCTTGAAAACCTTTTTAGATGTCCCTGTTGTATTGAAGTCAATGAAGGGCTTACCAGGATTCATTATTCTCTCCTCACCACAGGGTCAAGAAGAAATGTGAACACCAAGACCTGCCGGTTATGTGGTATTCATTTTTCATCGAAAATTAAGGAGTTTATTGGCCATAAAATAGATAACTTTTAAAGCAGCATCGGTGGTGGGTGTGAAACTGTCGTAGACTTTGTTTTATGCCATGGAGAAGGAGATGAGGTGGCCAAGAAGGAGTGGAAGGAGGAAGTGAGCTGACACGGATAAGCGTGTTGAGGGTTTTAACAAAGAAACCCTATCTCCAGTAAAATAGGCAATCCTGCCTGCCTACCCGCCTGCCTCTCTCTGCAGCCAATTAGACAAGACAGAGAGAGAGAGAAAGAGAAGAGACATCATCTGAAGGACCAAAGATAGCTAGGTACGAAAGGCTAATAATTAAGGTAGGGAGGGAGAAGAATATGAGAAGTAAACAAGGCACTTGACTACGTGGCGTTTGTATGTGTCCGACTGTGTGACAGTGATAAGTTACAGGTGAAGGAAGTCTTCGAAAGTATTTCATAACGTGGAGAAGAGGACGGAGGGTATTACTGCACCTCTCCACTTTTATTCTTCTGCAGCCTCCTTTAGAGCGTCGCCTTCACCCGCTGGCTTCAACTGGTCTCGGAAATCCACTTTCTATAGGGCAAAATGGGCAAAAAAAGTCACGCGCATCTGTACATGTATGTGCAGCAATTCCCTCTAATCCTATTGGCTAGAAGGCAAGGGCAAGTTTTGGCGCTCTTCTGATTGGCTAGTTGGGAGATCGGTCGATCCCCTGTCTGATTATAGTCGATTTTAAAAAAAGTAAATTAAACAAATAAAATTGGTAATAAGCGATTCAAAAATGGCTCTCAGCTGTACATGAGAGGCCTCGTCCTTTTCTTCAAGGGCAAATTTATTTTGTCCCGTGGACTTCAGTTGGGTTCGGAAGGAGGCTAATGTCTTTTCCTTCTTCTCGATACGTGCCAGCTGGCTCTCCGTCTTGGAGACCTTCTTAAGCACAGGTTTGACACTATAGGAGATAAAAAAACAAATTTCCCTATGCCTTTGAGTTGAGGAGGTAGGTGGCTTAGGCATGAGGAAAGTGTACTTACAATTTGCCCTTGACGTCATTCACCTTCATGGTGAGCTCGTTAATTTCGATGTCTTGTCGTCGTAGCTTCACCTCCCAATCGTACTTCTCACCCTCAAGTTGAGCTACCCGTGCGTGAAGCTCCCGAACCTTCTTGGCAAGAGCAGCTGAGGAGAGAGGGAAAAAGCAGATCCTAATTGGTGATAGACCGATAGATTGAAATTTACCCTCTTCGAGCCAGAATTCTAGACAACTTACAATCATCGAGACCGTCCAGCTGGAGAGGTTGAACTCTCGATCGGAGGTAGTTGTCCTTCTCCTCTTGTCGCTTCTTCATTTCCGCTTTCATCTCGTCCGCCGCCTTTTGCATGATCAGTTGCTGGATGGATCAAAGACAGCTACGATTAAGCACTGCTAAAAGAGGCACCTAAGGAAGGCGTTTTAGGCCACGCAACCCACCTTGAGCAGCCTCTTTTTCTCAGGTGAAAGGCCTCCTAAACCCTTTCTCTTCTGGCCGGGCTTACGTTGCTTCTTGGCAGCTTCTTCTGCCTCACGCTTCGCCTTCTCCTGAAAGTCAAAAATTGGATCAGTTTAGTCCTCAGACTCAAAATCTGTAACTTCTAAAACATGCTTTTAGAGCGATAAATAGGGGATTTCTTTGGTTGGATGAGCTGCAAGACGCCAAATCAAGTGTTCCTTGAAGCGCAAAGGGAAAGCAAATTTCGGTTTTTTTGCTTATAATGCAGCCAAGAGATGTTGGTGCGTTCATCATGCGTGCCTGGTCCAAAAAATGGTGAGCATTTGCTTTTTTGTGCATTTTAAACTACCTCTTGTTTCCTTTGACGCTCAGCCGCAGCCTAGATTTTGCAGGGAACAGAAAGGCAGACAAAAACCGTGTCAATGGTGGATTTACTGCTTCTCATCGCATGCCATGCGATTTTATTGCATTATAGGCATGCAACTTTTTCACAAATCCAAGAACTTCACCGCCTTTTAAAGCCATGCCCAGTGATCAATCGACAGGATACGCGTTGTGCCTTCACCAAGGTTTCGCTGCAGACCTTGTGCTGAAAAATCTCGGGAAAGGGGACAGTGTAGGGGGACAAAGGGTCCATCTGGACTCCCTCAGTGCTCAGTGTTGAAAAATAGCGGTGTATTGTGCAGGTAGGAGTTTGTGTGTGTGTGTGTAAGTGTGTACGAGTGTGATCATTCCACTCAAAACGGGTGTCTGAGACGAGAAAAAGGAGAACCCAAAATCATGCACGCATGCACCAACCTCTTCACGCCTTGCCTCTTCCTCTCTCTTTCTTCGCTCCTCCTGAAATCCATTTAAGTAGTATCATCAAGTTTACCAAATTGAGTTTTTCTGCTAAAAAGCGTTGACTCACTTCCTCCTTCTGTTTTTGGGTTTCATCCTAAAAGACATTTTGGAAAAACAAGGATAAATGAGAATTGGAGATCGTGGGAAAGTTGGAGGAGACACTTATAAGATCCGTGCAACCATCGACAAAAAAAGCTCAAACGATGCGGCCGTTCATTATTTCCGGCTGAACACTTAAACGATGTTGCGGTACCTAAACAATACATGCAGATCACGCTGTCTGTACAACTGCAGTCGCTTTAGTCGGCTAACCGAAGTTACCAACCGTTGCGGTGTTTTATGTTGCAGTGCTTGGCGGAGGAGAGGCAAAAAACAAGGGACGAACGAACAACAACAGAACTACATTCACACCGTAAGAGGAGAGCAGAAAACTTTCACGCAAATGGCCAATTAACACTTATGTACTACTAAAAAGTGGAAGAGAAAGTAGACGGTTTTACCTCCGATTCGGTCTGAAAAGATTTGAACGGGTTCGTATTAGGCTTGTCACCATTGGCGCCAAATGGAAACACTTAACAATGGACATGCTAAAGACCAACTAGACGTGCAATTTTGGGCCAATCCGAGGGCAATCTCCGCTGTCGGACAATTCGGGGTAGGCTTTGTCAAACTACGAAATCACCAAGGTTAGAAGAGGCATTGGGGCGAGGGGGGAAGGCTGGGCAGGGTGGAGCAAGACTTTACTGCACTCAAACAGAAAAAAACAATCGCACGAAAATGCAAGCGTAAATTAAAAATCCAGTTAATCTGACGCCTATGAAACATGGTGGGTGGGGTGGATGCGTTTTACCTGGGAAACTTCTTCCTGCATAGGGTTGTAGAAAAGTTGGGAGGGTTAGTAATTAGGCCAGAGTAAATAAAAGGGTGGACATATTTGGCCTGTGCATGCAATGCACTCAATTCATGAATGTTATAGAGGGCATGCAAGAATCGGCGTTTACCTCAGACTCTGAGGCCTAGGAGTTAGTAAAAACAGGTTGGCTTTACTTTTAATGCCAGAAAACACTACTCAAATGGGCTAAAATTGGCACCAAGTAGTATAAACAGTATTGAGAAATAGGACGGATTTTGACTTACAGATTCGCTGAAAGGAAAAAGACAAGAAAAGGACTTTAATTTTGTTTTTGATGAGCTCGTGTGAATGTTTAATGTTTAAATGGATCTCAAATCTAGCGGGCGTCTCAGTCTTAACTGTCTGCACACGCCCATGACCTCTTAATTCTCTAGTTCAAAGTCTTTGTGGATGTCCAGAGGATCTCCCATCTACGTATACTCAGAAGAAAGGCTTGAACTACTGCACATTTAGCACCTACAATCACTAGGACTACAGGCAAACTTTACAGGCCTAATGCAGACGTCTAGAGCTTTGTGAAATTGAAAAAATGACCATCTGCTAAGCTCCAAACTTGTCATCTTTTACAAAGGAAAAGAAAAAAAGGGGATAAAGTTGTATGCTTACGATCGGCTTTCGTCGTCACTCATGTTGCAGAAGAGACCAAATTACCGTAGACTGCAAGGAGAGGCGAGATAAGATACATTCCAAAAATTAAGGGCAATTTTTAGCGAGAGACACGAGTAGTGGGCAAAAGACCAACCTCCTAGAGGCGCTCCGACACCAACTGCCGCCCAAACGTTCTGCCCCTCGAGGTGGAGATGTGGGTGAAAGCGTTGATACAGCATCAGGAACGCGCTCCCCTCCCATTGGCCAGTCGACTGCGCCATCGATCGATACTTCACCGGGCACGTAACCGTGACTACTGTTCACTCGTGGGCAAAATCGATGTGACGCGCGGAGGTGCGCGTGCGCGCACGCACACACGCACTTGCAGGCGTTATGATGGTGGAGGGCGACTGCACGTACGCAATAATGTACTTCAGGATCTGTGGAAGACCTTACAGGTAGCATCGCTACTACGCCTTTTGAAGGCCGGAGGTTGGTAGGGCTGGGGGGAGGGGGTGAGAGTAAAGTCTAGGAGCAAAAAAATCATTTCTGAGGTGGTTTTTTACACTTAGACCTATCAATTTGGCTGGAGTGGAGACCATTGCACTGGCAGGGCTGTCAACATCAGTCAGTAATGGAGTGTTCATTGGCTCATCAATTTGTCACATGTTTAGAGACAGTGAAATACTTAAATCACCTGTCAAATGAAACGCAGGGTTGAATGACAATTGAGGGTTTACCCTAGCTGAAATTTTGAACCCAAAATGTTGGATGGCGAAGACGTCGTTGAAGGAATCATGCCTCCTAGTGCACCAAACGATCAATGCTGCGCAACTGTGGGTGCACGCACGGAGTTTGATTTGCTCCCATCTGGTAGACCTATTTATGTGGCTGCAAAATTGACTGTCTTCGTTTTTTTTCAGTGATTATCACCAAAAGCGTGACCATGGATTTCCAGGCATGACGATACATATCTTGGAGGCCTTCTAAGGGTAGTAAGAACATAGATGATTGCAGGGTCGATCTACTGGGTGCATTACAAGAGGCGGGAAGACTTTTGATCTCAGCGTCAAGGCTGTAGCTCATTGATTCCACTGTATCCACAGATGGAAACTTTTAGTGAGGTAAGTTGAAAGGAGAAGGCCTAGAAAAAATGTCTGCCTAGAATGCTAACAGCCAAGAGGGCCATGAGGAAGGCACCTACAGACTTTAAAGCAGCACACTAGGCAACGCCAAAGTGGACGCTGTTTACTGCCTTCCTGCAGAAGACGGGACCGTGTGGTCGTAGGGAGGAATAATAATTGCAATCTGTCTCCTGCAGCAGTGCCCTGCAGCTTTATCACCGACCAGAAGTAGGTAATTTATTCAAGGTATCTTTGTCTCTTCCCCCCTTCCCTCTCTCCTTCACTCACCCACCTCTTCCACCCATCTAGCCCTCGGTTAAAGATGTACCTTTCAAGCATTTTCCTGTTCCCGTCCCTACGACTTCAAAATTAATCAACTGATATCAGGAGAAAGAAGTCAAGAGATATTTTGACTTCTCCGCCTCCATCATCCTAGACTACCTTCGCAACCGTTGCAAACAATTCTCGATACCATACCTCCCAGGCAAAGGAGAATGCCAGAGACTTCGCATTCAATCCCGAGAATGTCTAAGTGACTATGGAATGGGATGCATCATGAAACATCAGACCAAAATATAGACCCATTGGTGACGATTGACGGCTCTTCAAATTTTGATGGAGAAGTATTACGCCGAGGAAGCGATTGGTAGGCGAAGCACTTCGCTTAGTGTCTGTGTCGTTGAAGCTCTAACTCCTGCTGTGATGGATGCAACACATCATGGCGGAAGTAACTCCTACCTCTCATAGTTAGAGGAAGAGAAACTAATTGATATAAAGCAGGAGACGGAGAATTCAATACTCATTTGATGGGAGAGTAAACACCTCCTTCTACTCCTTATTTCCACCCATTATTAATCTTGTATTGCATGTTGCGAGATAAGGAAAGAAAAGAATGTAAGAAGGAAAGAAAAACCGGACAAGCATTGGCAACACGTAGACAGTGTCAAGCTACCCGGTCATCTGGAAAGCGGACGCATGGATGCATCGTTTATAGGTAAGAGTGAACAAGAGGTACGAGGTGTGCAAGATGTCATTGACTGGTCAGTCATCACTTTCGCCAGTGCTAGAATGTCACGCTTATTCGGTTAATGACAAGCTGATCACTTCAAGGTGAATCCATGCCACATGTTGAGCAGCCCACCCCTCGTTTCATCATGTGACATAAGACACCTCACAGCTAGGTCGTAATGGAAGCTTGTCTCCCTTGCATTTTGCATGACATATCGCTACTATTCCACCTTCCTTCCCCTTTGGCTCCTCATAAATTATTCATTATGGGTTGTATGTTGCGTGGTGAGGGAAGAAAAGAATGGAAAACATAATGAAGGTAAGACAGAAGAAAGGACAAAGAGCAGAAGGGAAGATTGAACAACATAGCCAGTGTGCCATGCTAACCGGTCTTTTGCAAAGCGGTTCCTTCCATCACA